CTAAGATATAATTTATATATATATATATATATATATATATATATATACATATATTAAATGCAGGGAAATATTCTTTGGGCACTCATACTATCAACTATTATATGATTATATATAGAGGATTACATAAAGGGATTCTTCAAGCCCTAATTCTACAAACTAATATATGATTATATAAAAAATTATACAAAAGGAAATAGCTGAGTAGTAACACTACAAACTGAGATATTCTTCAAGCCCTAACTGTGCCAGGGTTCTGCTTAGGTCTCTTTCCTCGGTGCCTATATGGGGGGGTTACCCACAATGGGGGCAAACAAAACAAAGGTCACCTCCTTTATTAACCTCAGTCCAGTGGCGAGGAACCTATCCTGGTGAGAACTGGCAAATTCACTGCACCCAAAGGCCCTCCTTCCAGGTTTTTAAATACCTTTTAGTTTCTGTAGACACCTTTACTGAATGGGTAGAAGCTTTCCCCACCAGAACAGAGAAAGCTACAGGAGTGGCCAGGACACTGCCAAAAGAGTTCATAACAGGATTTGGCCTCCCCTGCTCCTTCCAGAGCGACAGAGGGCCGTGTTTTCTTGTAACTATGACCCAATAGATAGCCCAAGCTTTGGAAATTAAATTTCATCTCTACTCCTCATGGAGGCCACACTCCTCATGCAAGGTTAACAGGACTAATCAAATTTTAAGGCAGACCCTGGTGAAACTGTGCCGGGGAACTTCTGGATCTTGGTATATACTCTTTTGCCTATAGCCCTCAAGAGAATACAAGTGGCACCCAAAGAAAAGACAAAACTTTGTCCGTTTGAAAAGACTTCTGGGAGACCCTTCCTTACCTTAGACCTGTTATTCAAACCAGAAACCCAGTCTAATTTACAATATATTCAAAATCGAAGCCAGGGGTCAGGCGCGGTGATTCACAGCTGCACTCTCATCACTTTGGGAGACGAGGGGGCAGATCACATGAGGTCAGGAGTTCAAGACCAGACTGGGCAGCATGTTAAAACCCCTGTAATACAAAAATGACCCGGGTGTGGTGGCACGGGCCTTTCATCCCAGCTACTCGGGTGGCTGAGGCAGGAGAATCGCTTGAACCTGGGAGACGGAGTTTACAGTGAGCTGAGATTGCACCTCTGCACTCCAGCCTGGGCCACAGAGGGACACTCTGCTGGAAACAAACAACAACAACAACAACAAAAACAAAACCAAAAAACACTAAGCCCTGTACAACAGGCTATCCAGGAATACAGCAATACAGTGCTGCCCTCACCTGGACGAGTGAAAAACATCCCCCAAATCCTACCAGGAGACAGGGTCCTATTAAAAACTTGAAAGAAAGGCTCCCCAGCAGATCAACTTCTTCCTAAATGCAAGGGACCTTAGTAAGTACTACTAACCACCCCAATGGCTGTCAAGCTGCAAGGAATAGCCAGTGAGGTTCACACGACCAGAATTAAGCTTTGCAATAAGCCTTTACAGGAACCAGAGGAAGCTACTCGTTACACCTGCCAGCCCATAGAGGCTCTAAAGCTTCCATTCAAGAACACAATTCCAGATAGAGCCAATCTGGAAGACTTGGCACGTGCCTGCTATACTCTAATGGCTTTTAGAGACACTGGCCTGTCTACTGGAGAAGTCATTAACCATGCTGTTAGTCTATTAGACTGAACTCAGGCCTGGGCATTGTGGCTCATGACTGTAATCCCAGCATTTTGGGAGGCTGAGGCAGGTGAATCACCTGAGGTCAGGCGTTCGACACCAGCCTGACAAACATGGAGAAACCCCGTCTCTACTAAAAATGCAATATTAGCTGGGTGTGGTGCCACATGTCTGTAATCCCAGTTACTTGGGTGGCTGAGGCAGGAGAATCGCTTGAACCAGGGAGGTGGAGGTTTCAGTGAGCTGAGATTGCACCATTGCACTCCAGCCTGAGCAACAAGAGCAAAACCCCATCTCAAATAAATAAATAAATACATACATACATAAATGCATAACTTAACCTTGTTGACTTTACGTAACTACCAAAGGTTGGAGATATGCCAGACCTGGGCCCTTAGAAGACTAGCCTGGCATCCCAGCACATCTCCAGGGACAAACTCACTGGAGCATAGAATGGGGATGTCAGGCCCAACAGTCAATACAAACAGATTTTATTGCGTCAGGTCATGGGTTCCTTAAGTTCCTCCTCTTAATTATCAACAGCAGTTCAAATGTCCCAAAAGGGAGAAAGTGCTTTCTTACATACCTTTTATCCAGAGCAGTTCCCCTTCTGCCTTTACAGTAATTATGCCAGTGCTGCCACTTTCGTAGAACTCCAGGAGAGACAATGTAGTTGAAACTTTGTCACCGGGTCACCTATCTGAGTCAATACATCTGCAGGAACTAAACTAATAAGTGGACACCTCACCCAGGAAACCACTTTTTCACTTTATTATGTACCCGGACTGGTACCACCTCTATTTTCTATCAACAAAACTAGAACCTCTAGCTTCTGCTGAGGCCACCTCACATGGGAAGCCCTGATTCACCCTATCTCAATACAGCCCTCAAGGTCTGTCAACATATCCTATCAAAAGATAGCTATGACTTGGAGTCGAACCCTAAAGGAGGAGCTTTAATTAAAGAAGGTATTAATGCCATCTTCCAACTCTAGCATTCGTTAGTGGACCCAGCAACCACTGCCAACTTGGCTGCACATAACCTTTCACTTATAGGCCACAAAACAGGAGACCCCTTTTATAGGCCCTCCACTGCTTTCACCACGTTAATGCAAAATATTTTGCAGCAGAAATTTCACCATCAAACTAATTTTTGTGGTTTGCGGGTCTTCAGCATATCTACAATTACCCACTATGGAAGGGGCGATGCTCGATCACCTACGTTTCCCTTATCTAACTTTCACACGGGCTAACACATCTTTCCCTTTCCCCGTGTACTAGCGTAGCAAGATTCAGCTCCCAGCAAGACCTGTATTCCCTTAAGTTTACTACTGCCCTCTCTGTTGGGATTATCATGGTCAGCCGCGGGAGGTAGAGCCTCGACATCCAGCATAACCCGTTTTGGGAGATGACGGTGGCCCTCCCACAAACAGCAGAGGGCCTCGCTATGCTTCAACAGCAGCTGGACTCCCTAGCCATTATAGTCCTACAAAACCGAAAAGCTTTCAATCTTCTCACAGCCGGTCAAAGAGAAACATGTTTGTATCTGAAAGATGAATGCTCTTTGTACATCAATCAGTCTGGTTTAGTCCAAGAAAATATCAGAAATATCACCACCCACGCAAATGAAATTAACACTTTAGGAACTTCCATGGGAACTGGAAGCATTAGCTATTGTCTGCTCTGCTCCCTTTAACATTGCCAGTCGTTAACATACTTTTAGCTTTGACTTTTGGTCCGACTGTGTTTAAAATGCTGATTTCTTACTCTCTTGCTTACAGCTTCTCCAGGTCCATATGATGGTTTTGCAAGGCTTTCAACCTTGGGCTGCTAATGAGCTATCTCATGTCTTGCCCATCAGTCCTGTGAACAACGTGGTTCACACCCTGTTAGATCAGGCAGGAAGAGACTTTAGGGCCCAGGCTAGGCAGGGAGAATATGCCCCACTCCGCAGGAAACAGCTTTAGAAGAACATTGAGCGGCCTAAAACAACACACGTGTGTTACCCACAGTTCTGCAAATCAAGACCAGGAAGGCTCAACTGGCTCCTCTGCTGAATGTCTCCCTAGGCCAACTCAAAATGGGCCGGCTGGGTGCTAATGTGCAGGTGTGGAATAATCCTCTTCTGAGCTTATTCAGGTAATTGCTCATTGAGATCTAGTTCCTTAAATGTGGTTCCCATTTTTTGGCTGGCTGTCATCCAGAGACTGCTCTAAACGCCTAGAGACACCCTACACCTTCTCGGGAGCACTGCTTTATCCTCAAAGAGGGCCTGCTGTGTCACATCCTTCTTGTGCTTTGACTCTCTCAGCTCTTCTTCTGCTCCTGGGTGAGGAAAATGCTCTGCTTTTCAAGGATTCCCCCGCCAGGTCTGGCCCACCCACACATTCATGCCTCAAGATTACCTGACTTGAGACCTTAATTCTCTGGCAAAATCCCACCATAGCACTATTAGGATTAGTGCTTGATTGAGTATACAGGAGATGGGAATCTGGGGAATCAGACTATAGCTGTCTCAGTCAACTCCAGCTGCTATCACAGAATACCACAGACTGGGTGGCTTCATCACCAGGCATTTCTTTCTCACATTTCTGGAGGTTAGAAGTCCAAGATCAGGGTGCCAGCATGCTCAAATTCTGGTGAGGGTCCTCTTCCTGGCTTGCAGTCAGCCACCTTGCTATCCTAACATGTTGAAGAGGCACGGAAGAACAAATTCTCTTTTCTCTAATTAGAAGGACATTAATCTCATCATAGGGACCCAGCCATCATGACCACATCTAAACCTAATTACCTCCCAAAGGTTCCACCTGCAAATATCATCCCATTGAAGTCAGGGTTTCATTGTCTGAATTCTCAGAGGACACAATATTTATTCTGTTTATAATGCCTGCCTACTACAAAAGGCAGAAGTGCACAGCTGCATCCCTGTTACCCATGCCTGGAATACCAGCTCCTGCCATATTAATAAGCCCTGGTGTATCATTTGAGAAGATGTTATCTCGTTGGCATTGGCCATTTTTCATCTTCTCTTCATGAACATTGTGAGTAAAGGTAGCATCTGGAAACTACATGAAGAGGTTGATATGTGAGGTAAGTCTATTACGGTAACCCCACAGGTATATCCCTCTAATTCTCCGTTTCTAGGAAATTATCTCATAAAACAGAAGGATATATCAGGTGGCTATCTGAGACCTCTCAAATTGAGGCCTGGAAAGGTAATACACCAAAACCACCTTCTTCCCCACTTGACCTTCTTCCCTACTCATGTATATGGAAAACAAGTAGAAAAGAACAACTAATAAACAAACATACATAGATTCCTGGTACTCATGGATGGAATACCCTCTGCTTCTATGTTAATGAGCCCTGGTAGAACAGTTGACAAGACATTATCTGGTACTGGTGTCCCATTTTCCATCTTCTCTTCATGGACGTTGTGAGTGGAGGTAGCATCTGGACATTGTGAGTGGAGGTAGCATCTGGAAACCAAATGAAGAGGCTGAACTGTGAGGAAAGTTCATTCTGTCAACCCCACAGGTATATCCATCTGATGCTCAGTTTCTAGGAAGTTATCACATAAAAGAGGATATACTAGGTGGCTCACAAATTCAGCTCCCAAAAGACAATGCATTCAAACCTCATTGTTTCATTTATAACACTGCATGCATGTGGAAACCAAGTAGGATAGTACAACTAGTAAACAAACATACACTGATCCCTGGTACAAACATACAGTGATCTCCTGCCAAATTAATAAGCCCTGGTGTAACAGCTGGCAAGATGTTATCAGGTACTGGTTGGCCGTTATTTTTCTTCCCTTCCTGGACATTGTGAGTTACGGTAGCATCTGGAAACCAAATGGAGTAGATGAGCTGTGAGGTAAGTGCCTTATGTCAACCATATGGGTGTGCCCCTCTGATGCTAAATATCTAGGAAATTATCTCATAAAGAAGGAGTGCATACCAGGTATCAATCTGAGAACCCTTAAATTGAGACCAGAAAAAATAATACAACAAAACCATCTTCTTCCCTCATGACACTATGCATACATATGGAAACCAAGTAAGACAGTACAAATAGTAAACAAACTTACACTCATTTCTGATAGTAATGGATGAAATACCAGCTGCTGCCATATTAATAAGGCCTAGTGGGACAGTTGAGAAGACATTAGCGGGTGCTCATTGGCTATTTTTTATCTTCTCTTCACGGATATTGTGAGTGAAGGTAGCATCTGGAAATGAAATGAAGAGATAAAGATCTGAGTTAAGTGCATTATGTTAACTCCACAGATATATCCCTGTGATGCTCAGTTCCTAGAAAACTATTTCATAAAGCCAGAGAGGATATGCCAGGTGGCAATTTGAGAACACTCAAATGCAGCTCATGAAAGGTAATACAACACAATCACCTTCTCCCATTCAGGACACTAGGCATGCCTATGAAAACCAAGTAGGACAGTACAACTTATAAGCAAACATACACTGATCCCTGGTACTCATGGCTGGAATACCAGCTGTTACCAAATAAGTAAGCCCTGGTAGAACAGTTGACAAGATGTTATTAGATGGTAGTTGGTTATTTTCCATCCTCTCTTCAAAGACATTGTGAGTGATGGTAGCATCTGAAAACCAAATGAAAAGATTGAGCTCTGAGCTAAGTGTATTATGTAAACACCCCAAGTATATCCCTCTGATGCTTAGGGTCTAGGAAATTATCCCATAAAGCAGGAGGAAGATACATCAGGTGATGATCTGAGACACCTCAAATTGAGCTCATGAAAGATAATACAACAAAACCACCTCTTTCCCTTTATGACACTCTGCATTCATATGGAAAACCACTAGGACAGTACAACTAGTAAACAAACATACACTGATCACTGGTACTCATGCCCAGAATACCAGCTACTGCCCGATAAATAACCACTGGTTGAACAGTTGACAATACGTTATTAGATTGAGGTTGGTCATTTTCCACCTTCTCTTCATGGATATTGTGAGTGACGGTAGAACCTGGAAACCAAATGAAGAGGTTGAGCTGTGAAGAAAGTGCATTATGTCAGACCCACAGGTATGTCCCTCTGATGCTCAGCTTCCAAGAAATTATTGCATAAAGCAGGAGGAAATGGTAGGCTGAAATCTGAGATCCCTCAAATTGAGCTCAAGAAAGATAATACAACAAAACCTCCATCTCTCCTTCATGACAATATGCATGCATATGGTAACTAAGTAGGAAAATCCAACTTTTAAGTGAACATACACAGATCATTGGTACTCATGGATGAAATACCGGCTCCTGCCATATTAAGCCCTGGTGGAGCAATTGACAAGATGTTATCACACTGGGGTTGACCGTTTTTCCATCTTCTCTTTAGGGACATTGTAGGTGGCTGCAGCATCCGGAAACCAAATGTATAGGTTGAGCTGTGAAGTAAGTGCATTATGTCAACCCCACAGGTATACCCCTCTGATGCTCAGTTTCTAGGAAATTATCTCATCCAGAATTAGGATATAGCAGGTGAAAATCTGACACCCCTCAAACTGAGGCCATGAAAGGTAATACAACAAAACCACCTTCTTCCCTTCGTGACATTAGACATGCATATGGAAACCAAGTAGGACAGTACAACTAATAAACTTACACAAATGCCTGATACTCATGGATGAAATACCAGTTTTGTCTTTTTAATAAGTCCTAGTGGAACAGTTGACAAGATGTTATCAAGTTGTGGTTGGCCAATTTCCGTCTTCTCTTCACAGACATTTTGAGTGACACTAACATCTAGAAACCAAATGAAGAGGCTCAGTTGCAAGATAGGTGTGTTTTGTCCCATCCTCCCCCAGCAAGGCAGCTATGTATGAACCAGTTTCTAGGGAATTATTTACTTCATGAAACAGAAAGATTTACCACGTGGAAATCTCATGACATGTGGTAACATGTTTCTCTTGCAAACAAAGATCAGATCAGATAACACAATAAAACTACCTTTTTACATCTTGGCATAATGAGTACATGCAGTAAACAAGTACGACAGTAGAATAAACATTCACATGTTTCTTGTACCCATCATTTTGAATCATCTTGCTGCCCTTTACAATTCTCACTTGATATTATTTTTATAGTTCACTTATGAATGTCATGTTGTGCACAGCAGGAAGCCAGACTAAGGGAGTCTTCCTGAACCTGTCTCCTTTCTACCTCAAATATTCTGAGAAAACAGAGGTGGCTATTAGAACTGAACATTCTATCTCCACTCTGTAATCAAACATTCCTGTTTTTATACGATTCTACAGATCCTTCCCTTTTGTCTAGAAAAAGTGACTTACTTTTCACTCCAGGTCTGACACCTCTTTCATTTATTCATCATCCGTGGTAGCCTGCAGGCCAGGAGTTGGGGATCTGCAGTAAACAGCCCATAGAGCAATGTTCATTGCCCCTGTGGAGCTCACATCTGCATAGGTCAGTCAGACAGCACGTGCACAATGAGCAAATGAAACAAGCAGCATTGGACTCGTGTTGGGGAAGTAGTCCACAGGCCTGTGGGAGACAGCAGCAGAGGGAACCCCAGAGGCTGCAGCTGGTTGGCAGGGCCTTCTGAGGAGGTGTCATTGGGCAAGACTTGGAGGAAGAAGCAGAGCCTCCTGTGCAGAGGCAGAGGGAGAGTTCTAGGCTGTGGTGAAGGCCAAGGGTAGGGGCTGGAGTGGGAATGGACTGGGCACTACAAGGGTGAAGGACAGAGGCAGAGAGAGCCAGGAGGAAATGGATGAGACCCGTGTTAGGAGAGGGTGACAGAGGCCAGGCCATGCAGAGGCTCTCAGTCCAAAGCTGGTTGAGGGTCTGTTCTGAGTGCTTAGGAGACTTGAAGATGGGTTTTCAGGAGGGACATGGCATGATGTGATTTACTTGCTGATATAATTAGCTACAGGGTTAGAGAATATGCCACAGAAGAGGGAAGATTGGAAACACAGAGCTAACAAGTTATTGTACAACCTTAGTGAGAGATCATGGCAGTGTGCACTGGAGGGATAGAGAGAAATGGTGGGATGCAGAATTTATACTGAGCATCAGCTGCTGGACTTGCCAAGAGATTGGAAGTGAGAGAATAATAAAAGAATTATAAGAGAAATCATAAGTTACTTTAAGTATTTTGAGGTGAGCTACTAAGTAAAAGTACACCAGGGGTGTTCAGGAGGTGTTAGGCAACTGACTACAGGAGCTGAGTGCTGCCAACTCTTCCTGATTCTGGTTCAGTGACCTATGTCGACAGCTTGAACTAGGCCATGGTGGAATTATTTGCACTATGGATAGTTGAAAACTCTAAAAACCAGGACTTTTCAATTCCCCATACCTGTGAGCAGCTGCTTGTTACACCTTTGTGGATATTTCACCTAATGGACGCTGTCTTTAACTGAAATAGTGAAGACTGAAAGTAAAGTATTTTTGGAGAGAGGGAGGTCAGAAATTTGAACATGTAGAGCCACTTGAATTTTGGATGCCTATCAGACACCCTATAGAGATACCACGCGTGTAGTTGTATTTGAGTCTGGATTTCAGAAATAAGTTGTAGTCTAGAAATATAATGATGAGAGTTTTTATAGTGTGAATCATTTAAAATTCTAAGACAGCATGGCATCACATAAAAAGATACTATAGTGAAACGAAGAGAGCCTAGGATCAGGCTTTGTCACCCTGAAATATTTAGAAATGGGAAGGAAGAAGGCCGGGTGCAGTGGCTCAAGCTTGTAATCCTAGCACTTTGGGAGGCCGAGGCAGATGGATCACGAGGTCAAGAGATCGAGACCATCCTGGTCAACATGGTGAAACCCCGTCTCTACTAAAAACACAAAAAAATTAGCTGGACATGGCGGCACGTGCCTGTAATCCCAGCTACTCAGGAGGCTGAGGCAGGAGAATTGCCTGAACCCAGGAGGCGGAGGTTGCGGTGAGCCGAGATCGCACCATTGCACTCCAGCCTGGGTAATAAGAGTGAAACTCCGTCTCAAAAAAAAAAAAAAAAAAAAAAAAAGAAAAAAAGAAAGAAAGAAAAAAAAAGAAATGGGAAGGAAGAGGAGAAAAATAAAAAGGAGAAGGAAAATGAGTCTCTAGTAACAGGGTAAGAAATCCAGGTGTCTGGGGACTGAAGAACCTTTCCATGCAGAAGTGTGTAAACAACTGTGCCGTATACTGCTGAGAAATTGATGTCAAAGTGCAGCGAACACAGGTGACCTTGATGATAGTAGTTTCATTGCAGTACACGGAGAAGAAGCCATACTGCACTAGTTCGAGAAGAATGTGAGGACAGGCAGAAAGTGAGCAGACCCGTCCTCTTGTTGCACCCATCATCTCCTTCTGCCTCAGGAACCTGCTTTATTCATCTCACGCTTGCAGAAACTCCAAATTGTTGCACCTAATTAGAGCATTGCCCTTCCACTTGCAAATGCACTCATATCTGTTCATCTCTCAAGGACATGACTACAAATGTCCTTTGCCATGGTTGAGGCCCAAAAGATTGGATTCCCCCTCACCTTCCTGTTGGTGTAACCACAGGGACATACTCTTCCTTCTCTTAGATGATGAGTGTCTCTTGGATTCTCTGGAATGTTTCTTTTTGCTTTGATGCCCTGTTGCAACCTGACTTATGTCATCACTTCCTGTTTGCTGAAAAACATCAGTGAACATATTCCATTAAAGGCAAATCCAACCATTGCAAAGTCACAGTCTTCTTATGCACACACAGCCATGCATTTATATAATTAACATAAGTTTTAGTCACAGGTCAAAGATTTATCCTCACTCAACAGACATGATGCTCTCAGAAAATGCAAGCTAATTATAATGTAGTCTCAGTGAAACAAGGGAAGGTAAAATACAAGGTGTTATCCAAAGTCAAACATGGTACAGTCATGATGAATCAGAATGCCTGGGGAATGAGTGGCTTTCATGAACCAAAGTAATAAACTTATGGTTATCTAATGAAGTACGCATGATTTTGTCTCAGCCCTTGTTAGGAAGGGAAAAAAAGAAATATCTTTTTTATATTTTAGTGCTTTAAACTTACTTATTAACAAATACTGATGAATAATTTATTAGATGATACATATAGATAATGAAGTGTAGGATAGATTGAAAAGGTAAATTTTCCTACCTTCAACCTTATAGAGATTCAAAAAAATTGACCTTGAAGCTAGGTAGGTGTACCAGGTGTTTTGCAATCTTGGTGGTAGATAAAACATGAAATTGAAGGATATAGTAGGTTATCTAAAAGCTATTTTCATCAAAGGATAACCAAAGAATATCCTCTTGCCTACCAGAGGTACAATGAAGAGGTGGTACTATTTCTACTGAAACTATTCCAAAAAATTGAAAAGGAGGGACTCCTACCTAACTCGTTTTATGAGGCCAGCATCATCTTGATACCAAAACCTGGCAGAGATACAACAAAAAGAAATCTTCAGGCTAATATTCCTGATGAACATCGATGCAAAAATCCTCAGTAAAATACTGGTAAACTGAATCTAGCAGCACAACAAAAAGCTTATACTTCATGATCAAGTAGGCTTCATTTCCGGAATGAAAGTTTGTTTCAACATATGCAATCTATAAATGCAATTCATCACATAAACAGAACTAAATACAAAATCCACATGATTATCTCAATAGATGCAGAAAAGACCTTTGATAAAATTCAACATTCCCTTATATTGAAAGCTCTCAATAAACCAGGTATTAAAGAAACATACCTCAAAATAATAAGAGCCATATATAAGAAACTCACAGCCAATATTATACCGAATGGGAAAAAGCTGGAAGCATTCCCCTTGAAACTGGCACAGGTCAAGGATGCCCTCCCTCACCAGTCCTATTCAACATAGTATCAGACATTCTGGCCAAGGCAATCAGGCAAGACAAAGAAATAAAGGTTATTCAAACAGGGAAAGAGGATGTGAAATTATCTTTGTTTGCAGATGACATGAACGTATGTCTAGAAAATCCCATCGCCTCAGTCCAAAAGCTTCTAAAGATGATAAGCAACTTCAGAAAACTCCCAGGATATAAAATCCATGTTCAAAAATTGCTAGCATCCTTATACACCAAAAACAGGCAAGCAGAGAGCCAAATCATGAATGAACTCCCATTCACAATTGCCACACAAAGAATAAAATACTTATGAATACAGCTAACAAGGGAAGTGAAGGATTTCTTCAGAGAGAACTTCAAACTACTGCTCAAAGAAATCAAAGAGGACACAGACAAATGGAAAAACATTCCATGCTCATGGATAGGAAGAATCAATATTGTGGAAATGGCCATACTGCCCAAAGGAATTGAGAGATTCAATGCTATTCCCATTAAACTACCATTGACATTCTTCCCAGAATTAGAAGAAACTATTTTAAAATTCATATGGAACCAAAAAAGAGCCAGAATAGCCAAGACAATCCTAAGCAAAAAGAACAAAGCTAGAGGCGTCACACTACCTAACTTCAAACTATACGATGGGGCTACAATAAACAAAACAGAGTTTTACTGGTACAGAAACAGATACATGGACCAATGGAACAGAATAGAGAACTCAGAAATAAGATCGCACAGCAATAAACATCTGATCTTTGACAAACCTGACAAAAACAACCAATGGGAACAGGTTTCCTTATTTAATTAATGGTGATGGGAGAACAGACTAGCCATATGCAAAAATTGAAACTGGACCCCATCCTTACCTCTTATACAACAATTAACTGAAAATGGATTAAAGACATAAATGTAAAACCCAAAACTATAAAAACCCTAGAAGAAAATATAGGCAATACTATTAAGGACATAGGCACAGGCAAAGATTTGACAAAATGCCAAAAGCAATGGCAATAAAAGCAAAAATTGACAAATGTGATCTAATTAAACTAAAGAGCTTCTGCATAGAAAAATGAACAATAATCAGAGTGAACAGACAACCTACAGAGTGGGAGAAAACTTTTGCAGTCTCTCCATCTGACAAAGGTCTAATATCCAGAGTCTACAAGAAACTTAAACAAATTTACAAAAGAAAACCAAACAACCCCATTAAAAAGTGGGCAAAGGACAGGAACAGAAACTTCTCAAAAGAAGATATTCATGTGGCCAACAAACATATGAAAAAAATTTCAACATCACTGATCACCATAGAAATGCAAATCAAAACCACAGTGAGATAACATCTCATGCCAGTCAGAATGGCCATTATTAAAACGTCAAGAAACAACAGATGCTGGCAAGGTTGTGGAGAAAGGGACAGCTTTTACACTGCTGGTGGGAATGTAAATTACTTTAACCATGTGGAAGGCAGTATGGTGATTCCTCAAAGATCCAGAGGCAGAAATATTTGATCCAGCAATCCCATTACCTCGTGTATACCCAAAGAAATAGAAATCATTCTATTATAAAGATACATGCATGTGTATATTCATTGCAGTACTATTCACAATAGCAAAGACAGGGAATCAACCCAAATATCCATCAATAATAGACTGGATAAAAAAAAATGTAGTACATATACACCATGGAATACTATGCAGCCATAAAAAGCAATGAGATCATGTCTTTGCAGAAATATGAATGGAGTTGGAAGCTGTTATCCTCAACAAACTAACACAGGAACAGAAAACCAAATAGTGCATGTTCTCACTTATAAGTGGGAGCTGAATGATGAGAACACATGGAAACCTGGTGGGGGCAACACACACTGGGGCCTGTCACGGGGAGGGGTATTGGGTAGGGAGAGCATCAGGAAGATTAGCTAATGGACACTGGGCTTAATACCAAAGTGATGAACTGATAGGTGCAGCAAACAACCATGACACAAGTGTACCTATGTAACAAACCTGCACGTCATGCATATGTACCCCAGAATATAAAATAAAAGGTGAAGAAAAAAAGAATATACTCCTGCATATAAAGTATGCAGGAGCATATTTAATAAAATTTATATTTATTAATAATACATATATTTATATCTATTATATAAATTTTATTAATATTTAATAAAATTTAAATATCTCCTTTGTCTTCATGTTTTAATGGTGAAGTTAGAGTTAGTATGTCTCTCTTATATACAACACAAAACTCACATTAAGATCTCCATTAGGCCGGGCGCGGTGGCTCAAGCCTGTAATCCCAGCACTTTGGGAGGCCGAGGCGGGTGGACCACGAGGTCGAGAGATCGAGACCATCCTGGTCAACATGGTGAAACCCCATCTCTACTAAAAATACAAAAAATTAGCTGGGCATGGTGGCACGTGCCTGTAATCCCAGCTACTCAGGAGGCTGAGGCAGGAGAATTGCCTGAACCCAGGAGGCGGAGGTTGCCGTGAGCCGAGATCGCGCCATTGCACTACAGCCTGGGTAACAAGAGCAAAACTCCGTCTCAAAAAAAAAAAAAGATCTCCATTAGGACAATCCAATTATGGCAACATCACCTAGTGCTTCATATTCCAAGAGGAATACTTAGTCATTTTTTATTAATATAAATTGTATTAATATTTAATACTATATATTATTATCAATAATGTTTATTAATAACAATATATTTATATTATATAAATTTTATTAAATATAATATTTAATAAAATATATTTAGATATAATTTTGATTTGAAATTTTTCCAAACCATTTTTATTTTCTATAAGAGCTGAGAATGTGTGAAAACATTTTTACTGAACATTTACTACCCTCCAGGTACTGTTCTAAATGCTTTACATGTATTAACTCAATCCTTGGCCAATCCCTATGAGTGAAGTGTAATTCTTATCTCTTTCCTTAAGAAAGAGAAAATAAAGGCACAGAAAATCAAGGAAAAGTCCAATTAATTGAGGAGTTTGGGGAATGTGGTGGAATGACTTCAGTCTGGTTTTGTTACAGAAGAGATTATTGCCTATCTGTGTCCTTATACCAATGGTCTGTTCCATGACTGCAGATGCAATCCCCTTTATCTTCATGTTTTAATGGCGAAGTTAGTATGTCTCTCTCCTAGACAACACAAACATCACATTAATATCACCGTTAGGACAATCTAATCATGGCAACATCACTTAGTGCTTCAGATTCCAAGAGGAATACTTGGTCATTTCTTAGATAGAGCACTAGAGACTTGGATAACAGAAATGGAGGCAGTAGACTGCAATCTTGATATAAAGGAGTTATTGTGGTGAGTGGGAAAGAATATAGACTCTGGAGTCAGGAAGATATGCGTTCAAACCCTGGCTCTATCTCCTATCATGTGTCATGCGGGGCAAGCCATTTGACCACTGTCAGCCTTGATTTCTCATTAAAGGGGAGATAGTAATACACATCCGCAGAACAATTATGAGCATTAAATGTGAAAATTAAAAACATCAGCTCCTAGTACAATGAATCCACTCTTGGACCAAAAAGTTCCCATTTTATGTTCACATGAGAATTCCTGTGTCATATTGTTATCTTTTAAATCAAGAGAATTAACACATATAGTTTATATTCATCTTTCCAATGAGAAAATAATTATAATAAGAATGTCGCAATTAGGGCAGAAATAGAAAGTTATCTTACCTGCCCATCATTTGTAAACACATAGCCAACAGTATGAAGCTCTTCAGGTGGAGTTGGCTGACTCGTTTGAAGTGGAGGAACCAGCATCTGCAGATATGCGTCATAGCTAACTATGTGTATGTGACTGGAACACTCTGATTAAAAACTGGAACATAACTGGCAAAGAAATCGACACTATTCTCCCCATTGGAAGGGTGTAGGCTCCATGGCATTCTCTTATCATCCAGGGCATGCTGAGTAGTGGGCCTAACCCTCTTTGGATGACTTGCTTAAATCTGTAGATATTTTTCCCTGGAAAAGCCTGCTTACATACAAACTTAGTGTACAGTTTCAGAATTGTGACCAGTCTAAGATTTGATTAATTTGGTGAACAGATGACCCCACTTAAATCACCAAAATGGGGATATAGAAGGTAGGTAAAGTGATGTCAATTATCCTGGATATTATCAGGTTTGTGATTTCCATATAAACAAAGAATTCTCTGCTGAACTTACAGCAGTAAGCAGTGTGATATAGTATTTGTGTGTGCAATCTCTGAAATCTGACAGATCTAGGTTCTGTTACTTTTCCAATTGGTTAAACCTGGGAGAGCTGCTTAAATGTGCACTCTAAGATTCGACTTCCATAAAATGAGCATAAAACAGTATCTAACTCATGGTGCTCTTATAAGGATTACCAGAGATAAAGCACAAAGGGGATAGTGTATGTGCTGGTTGACACATACTTTTAAGCTTGAAAAAAAATAAATTTGTGGGATTCCGTGAAAATGGGAATTCTAAATATTAAAATATTAAAAAAACAAACTGCTCATGCAATAAACACCTTCCTACAAACTACATATTTTTAGCCGGGCGCGGTGGCTCAAGCCTGTAATCCCAGCACTTTGGGAGGCTGAGGCGGGTGGATCACGAGGTCAAGAGATCAAGACCAACCTGGTCAACATGGTGAAACCCCGTCTCTACTAAAAATACAAAAAATTAGCTGGGCATGGTGGCACGTGCCTGTAATCCCAGCTACTCAGGAGGCTGAGGCAGGAGAATTGCCTGAACCCAGGAGGCGGAGGTTGTGGTGAGCCGAGATTGCGCCATTGCACTCCAGCCTGGGTAACAAGAGCGAAACTCCGTCTCAAAAAAAAAAAAAAAAAAAAAAAAAAAACTACATATTTTTAAAATCAATAAAACCCGGTACAAAAAACTTGTCTGGTTTCAGCATACCAATTTCCTTCTGGTTAACTGGTCGAAATGACTACTACTTGCAATATCATAAGCATTTCTATATGTCTAAGGTTTCAAATTCTCCTTTATAAAACCAATAATTTTTTATTCCTGAAGTTTTAGATTTATGTATTTAATACAAGCAAGCAGAAAGAGGGGAATGATGAAAATTAGAGTAGAAGAAAATGAATGAAATAAAAAACAGAAAAATCAATGAAATCAACAGTTGATTCACCAAAAAAGTGAAATAAGCCTAACAATTTTTTAGTTTGATTCACCAAGAAAAAAAGAAAGGACTACACAATCATCAAAATCAAGAATCAAAGGGGGGTTATTAATACTGACCTTATAGAAATTAAAAGGAATATATCATGAAAAACTTTATGCCAACAAATTAAACTTAGATAAAAGAGAAAAAATTCCTAAAAGACAAATTACTGACTCCAGAAGAAATAGAAAATCGAAATAGAACTATAAAAAGAAAAGGGATTTAATTAGTAATTTAAAATCTCCTCACAAATACAAGGTAAAGCAAGGTGACTTAGCGTGTAAATTCTATCAAACATTTAAGGAAGAAATAATACGAATACTTAGCAGCGTCTTCAAAAAAACAACGGAGCAAGGAACACTAGTTCATTCTGTGAAGCCAATATTACCCCAATATCAAAGCCAGACAAATGATACATTTGCCTGTCAGCTCCAAATTCACCCTTTTATCCCACTGTGTGAGGTTCTGCGTTCCTCTGCCTATGTGAGTGGTGCAATTGTTACTGAAGGCCGCCTTTAGAGGGCGCCAGAGTCAGCTAAGTGGAACGCTGCGCTTCCTGGTTCTCTATGCTGGCATCTGCTGAGTGCGGGTTTTCTCCTCGGGATTCTAGCGCCCACACAGGTCCCAGTGTTCGGCTGGAGCAGGGCACGCGGTGGCTGTCAGCTTCCCTTCCTTCTATCGCCCTTGGGCCGTACCAGATCAGTGCTTCTAGTGAGATGCCTCCCTATGTGCATCAATCTCAGGCGCCCTAGGGGGCAGATTTCCCACAACTTTCAGAGGGCAGGTTTCTAGAAAGTTCCAGGAGCGTCGAGGCACCACCACAACTTTATTGCTATTTTGTGAGGTGCTGCCACACTCCTCTGGCAAGATCAGGATTTTTTTTTTTTTTTTTTTTCATTTTTATGTTTGAGATAGAGTCTTGTTCTGGCTCTCAGGCTGGAGTGTGGTGGCGGCAAACAGGGCTCACTGCAGCCTCGACTTCCTGGGCTCAGGTGACACCCCCGCCTCAGCCTCCCAAATAACTGGGACCACAGGCATGCACCACTACACTTGACTATTTTTTGTAGAGATGGGGGTCTCACTATGTTGCCCAGGCTGGTCTGAAATTCCTGGGCTCAAGCAATCTGCCCGTCTTGGCCTTCCAAAGTGCTGGCATTATAGGCGTGAGCAACCACACCCAGCAATGTCAGAATTTCGACATTGGTGATAGAATGAATAGGATAAATTTCAACATGGGGCAGGGAGTTGGGGGAGGTTATTTGAGTATTTCATTTAAGCTCTGTAGTGAGGAGCTCTTTCCAGGGCGCTGTATCTGAGCAGTGTTTCAGGAGAAACTTTTTTTAGGGTAATCTATCTTAGCTCTGGGCTAAGGGGATTCTTCCCTGGCTACTATACCTCAAATTCCCAACGGTATATTTCCAATGAGTTCTGCCAATGTGGCACCCCAACAAGTTCTCTGCCGTACATTGAGTAACAACTGGACCTACCTGATATGTGGAAACCTTTGGTGTGAGTGTCTTGATGGTGTGAGTGTCTCCTCATATGCTTTCCTCAAGCCTGCAGAGGACTTTCATGGCTTCCTCTATCTCAGTAAGGGGGTGATGGATCTCCCTTTTGGCTTTAACTTACTCCTGGGAGAAAGCTCTTCTCTTACCTGGGTACCCGACCCCAACCCTAGGTGAATGCTTCCTTGTGGGCTCTGTCTCATCCCTTTTGGATGGGGCTGTTTCTGTGGTGCTGTATCTTAGCCCTGGAAAGGATTTTCCATAATGCTGTATCTCAGTCCAAAGGAGTGACTCTTAGGGGCTCTATCTCAGCGCTTGGGGAGGAGACGTTTCCTTGGTTGCTTCATAACTGCAGTTGGAAGGCTCTTTCCTGGGTTCTTATCGTAATTATGTTAGGGGATGCCTTCCTTGGTTGCGCTATGTCAGCTATGAAGTGAAGGAGCTTCCTTGGATGCCCTGTTTCCCACCTCAAGTAGGGGAGAACCATTCCTTGGATGCTGTATCTCAGCCCTGCAGGGACTCTTCCTCATGTGCCCATCACAGCTGCGTGTGTGTGTGTGTGTGAGAGAGAGAGAGAGAGAGAGAGAGTGAGTGCGTGTGTAAGGGGGGCACTTTCCTTTGATATTTGATCTCTTCCTCGGGTGCTGTATATCAGCTCTAGGGTTAAGGTTTTTCCTTGGATGCTCTGTTTAAAGCCTAGAGTGGCACATCCTTAATGCTCTAACTCACCATTGCTGGAATTTTTCTTAACTCTGGGAGTAGAACTTTTCCTTGCATGCTGTATCTTCAAGTGGGGAAGTAATTCTTTGTGGTCTTTTAACTCCACCACCCAGGGGTTCTTACTTGTGTGCTCTGTTTCAACTCTAGGGGAGGGAGAGTACTTGTATTTTAGGTGCTCTATCTCTCCTATGAGAGAACTGAGATCCTTTTTACGTGCTCTAATTCATTATGGAGAGGACTCTTCTGTGGGCCTGTGTCTCAGCCCTGTGGGGAAGACTCTGCCTAGGAGCTCTAGCTCAGCTCTGCCATGGTGCGGGGGCATGGGGGTGGGGAGGGACTTGGTCTTGGATGCTCTATCTCAGCCTAGGCAGGATTCATCTTTGGGTGTGCGTTCTCAGTTTTGAACAGGAAAACCTTCCTTGTGGGATCAAACTAAATCCTTGGGCGATTCTGCCTCAAGTGTTTTCACAAGGCTAAGGAGGTGGGTTGCTATTTTCTTAACTGTTCTACCTCAGCAACGTCTAGCAGGTGGGAGGTGGAGTAGGGAGGACTTCTTTGGATGCACTATCTCAGTTGACTATACTGACCACTTCCTATATCTGCTTTCTGTAGTTAGAGTTACCTTTACTTCTTACTAGCCAATTTCCTGTTACTCTGTTCCCCTGTTATAGTTAATAATTCTATATGTTCAACTTTCCCTGTTTGAATTACTGTGTGGTTTCTCTCTCTTGATTTGATGAAGTCTGAAACAGAATTGTTACTGTGGATAGTCCCTGAGGTAGACCCTTTAGATGAGATTAGGGAATTTATCTGGTTGTGCCTTTGAGCTTAAACACAGCACCCTGCTTCTTGCCCAAGGGAAATGATACAAAAGTATGGCATGCATCAACTTCACAATTTGTCAAGCTATCACGATGGGTGATTGGGATGAAGTGCCAGTTGAAGTGATGGGGAGCCAGTGTATCAATCTGGTTCCAACCGCACAGGAGTTGCGGTTGCACCGTATCCACACAAACACATGGTATAGACCAGGCGTCCCCAAACTACGGCCCGTGGGCCGCATGCGGCCCCCTGAGGCCATTGATCCGGCCCCCCCGCCACACTTCAGGAAGGGGCACCTCTTTCATTGGTGGTCAGCGAGAGGAGCACAGTATGTGGCGGCCCTCCAACGGTCTGAGGGACAGTGAACTGGCCCCCTCTGTAAAAAGTTTGGAGACGCCTGGTATAGACTGTGGTTAGTTTTAGCTATTCTGCTGGGTGTTTAGCCATATCTCATATGGCTTTTATTTGCTCTTCTCTGATGATTAATGAGTTGGAGCAACTATTTATATATTCAGTGGCCAGCCATTTGTATATGTCCCTGTAAAGTACCTTTTCAGGCCCTTTTGCCCATATTTTATTTGGTTATCTTTTTCTTAGTGAATTGTAGGAGTTCTAAATTAAACTCCTTTATCAGATATTATATATAATGCAATATATATAATATGTATACATATAATGAATAT